AGCCGTGTACGCGGAGCAGTAATTAAGGGTCACAATATAAGGATACTAGCTATCACGAACACTGTCTTCTTCCTGCTGTAAGGGTAGCAAGTCCTCCTGCTGTCTTCCCCTGCTGTAGAGGGTATAGATATGTAGCCGTGTACGCGGAGCAGTAATTAAGGGTCACAATATAACTATAAGGATACTAGCTATCACGAACACGGTCTTCCCCCCCCCCCTGCTGTAAGGGTAGCAAGTCCTCCTGCTGTCTTCCCCTGATGTAGAGCCTGAGTGTAAGGATAGCAGTGTAAGAATACTGGCCTTCACTAACTCCTCTCTCTCTCTCTTTCTCGCTCTCTCCTCTCTTCTCTAGGATTCGGCGGCTGGAGAACTCTCTGAGTGAGGAGGGGTGTAACTATGTATCAGTGTAAGCACATACTGATTGTTACTAACTCCTCTCTCTCTCTCTCCTCTCTTCTCTAGGATCCGGCGGCTGGAGAACTCCATGAGCGAGGAGGGTCTGAGCGAGGAGCAGAAGCAGCAGAAGCGGTCGCAGCACGCAGCCAAGGAGACCGAGTTCCTGCGACTCAAGCGATCCCGCTCGGCGTCGACGACTTCGAGTCGCTCAAGGTCATCGGCCGCGGCGCCTTCGGCGAGGTGAGGTGGCGCTCTCTGGTGGCGGCGAGTGGGGGCGGGTGTCGTCGCGGNGAGAGAGAGAGAGAGAGAGAGAGAGAGAGAGAGAGAGAGAGAGAGAGAGGGGGGGGGGTAGCGAGTAGTACTTATCAGGCTGAATATAGCTGTAATGCGTAATGTTGCAGGAAGCTGGGATGTTGTAGTTGCTGTATAGAACTGTGCATGTGGAGTGTAATTAAGGCTGAAGGAAACTGGGTTGCTCGGGGAGTGTGCAGACAACCGAGATGCCTCGCGTGCACACAGAACTGTGTGGCATGTAATTGACTCTGAAGAAAAAAAAGAGTTGCTGTGAGTGCGCCGAGAGAAAGAGAGAGAGAGTGAGCGAATGAGAAAGAGAGAGTGAGAGGGGGTGGAGAGAGAGAGAGAGAGAGAGAGAGAGAGAGAGAGAGAGAGAGAGAGAGAGAGAGAGA